GATGAAGATGTGCATACAAATGAGAGTCAAGAATTCAGGAAGAAGCTGGGTGGTAGTGGTGAACGGCTTTAATCCCTGCACTTGGGATGCAGAGGCAGGTGGATCTTTGTGAGTTTGAGCCCAGTCTGGTCTACAAAGAGAGTTCCAAGACAGCCAGGGTTGTTACACAGAGAAATTCTGTCTCAGAAAAGAAAAATTTTAAAAATGAAACCAAACCAAACCAAACAAAAAAGAATTCAGAAAGACAAAGCTGTAGATGTTTAACAAAACTGTTTTTGTAGCTGGGCAGTGGTGGCGCAAGCCTTTAATCCCAGCACTCGGGAGACAGAGGCAGGCGGATCTCTGTGAGTTTGAGACCAGCCTGGTCTACAAGAGCTGGTTCCAGAACAGGCTCCAAAGCTGCAGAGAAACCCTGTCTTGAAAAACCAAAAAAAAAAAAAAAAAAAAAAAAGAAAGAAAAAAATTGTTTTTCTTCTATACTGGGTTTCTCTGTAGCTTTGGAGCATGTGTTGGAACTAGCTGGCCCTGAACTCACAGAGATCCGCCTGCCTCCTCCTCCTGAGTGCTGGATTAAAGGTGTGCACCACCACTGCCTGACTAACACAATATATTTTGATCACAGTTTTGCTCCCTCATTTCCTCCCCACCTCTCTACTCAGCCAATTTCATGCCTTTCTTCTCTCCATAGAAAACAGGCAAAGAAACAAATAAGCCAAAACATTCCCCCGTCTCCAAAAAACCAGAACAAAACAAAGCAAGCAAACAGAAAAAAGCCAAAGCAAAACTCAAGAAAAAGTACGAGAAACACACACTCAGAGATGCATGCACAAAGCAGCCCCCAAAACATTTAGTCCTAGGCACAACACCTTGCCTAAGTTGCCTTGTAAACCTAATGAAACACCATTGGAGAAAAGTAATTTTCTCTGTTGCCACCAGTTGACAATTAGAGGTAGCTTCTGGGTTTGGGATGGGGGAATCCCAGCTTCCCCTCAGTGCTGGGACCCCTCTAGCTTGAACCTATGTAGACCCTGTGCATGCTACAAGTCTATGTATTTCTCTGTGAGGTCAGATGTGCATCCATCCTGCATCCTGCTTCTTTGGAGTCTTCTACCCTATGATCTTCCTACCTCCTCTTCTGCATACTCCCCTGAGACCTGAATCCCAGTCCTGTGTGACTGAATTCTTAACCACTGAGCCATCTTTGCTGCTCCAAGAATCTCAACTCTTTACTTATTTTTTGTTTTGTGTAATAAAATATAGACAGTACAGGCTGTGCCATCAAGGTTTTGGAGGGATGCAAGGATTCTATTTGTTCAGGAAGCCACTGAGGCCAGGTGATGTGGCCAGGTGATGTGTAACAGGTTGGAGGCCCTGCACGGAACTCCTAAGTGGGTGTTGGGCAAAGCTGTGAAGGTGAAACCTAAATTGTAATGGTGACCTCCAGGATACCAAAACATGACCCACCTGCGAGCAAAGTGCCAGCTGCCTCTTTCAAGGAAAGGTACAGGGTTCAAAGAAAGGAACCTGAGTACTACTGAGTACTACTGCTAGCTGGCTGGTTGGGTGGCTGAACCCTAGTGTCCTCCTTTCTTTCTATATATCTTACTTTCATTCTAATTTCGTGGCTGGTTGGGTGGCTGAACCCTTGTGTCCTCCTCTCCTTGTTCTTTTGCTCCTTCTTCCTCCTTCTCCCAGATTTCTCCTTCTGTTTATCCCCTCTGACTGCCAGTCCCACCTATCCTTGCTCCTGCCTGGCTGTTGGCCATTCAGCTCTTTATTAGACCATCAGGTGTTTTAGACAGGCAAAGAATCACAGCTTCACAGAGTTAAACAAATGCAGCATAAACAAAAGCAACACATCTTTACATCGTTCAGAAAAGTGTTCCACAGCATAAACAAAAGTAACACAGCTTCAGATAATATCTACAACAGAGTCTAAACCAGACCCTGCAGACCACCACTCAAATATGGAAAGGATGGGGAAACCTTCCAGATGTGTTGGATACAGATGTGGTTAAGGTGCCTCTGAGATAACTCCTCAGGCTCTGACTCAAGCATCTAGGTGGACAGATGTGTATGTAAGTGGGAATGGGGGCTGAGGCCAGTCTCTAAAGAGTCCCCAGATGGTCTGGCCTCACAAATTATCCTGTGCCGAGGAGCCAGCTGTGTGAGAGTCTCAGGAACAAGATAAAGACTTGCTGCAGTAACAGGTGCCTAGGAGGTAGAAGTGTTAGATCATGCTGAGTTACAGGGTAGCCATGGAAGAGAAAAAGCAGGTGATGGGGCACTGCATTCATTACTCAGGGAGAGGAAAGTACCTGCCAGGGACAACGTCAGCCTTCCTGGGCCAAGATGCTGTGGATAGTACATGGTTGCTGACTCCAGCCACACTGAGAAGTGGCCTAGCTGGAGTTCACTACGTGCAGGTCCTTTCAGTGGCTGTCCCCCACCTTCCGTCAACCTTGCAATTGCCAACACTCCTCAGTCTTCTCAAGGGAACACCTTCTCCGTCGACTTATTTTTCTAGGATAAGTAATGATCATTTGTTTTGTTACTGTTGTGTTTAGGTTTTTGAGACAGATTCTCACTGAATAGCACGCCTGGGCTAGCTTAGAACTTCGTATCTTCCTGCCTCAAACTTCAGGTGCTGGGATTTCTTTGTTCTTGTTATCTGTATTGGATTAACTTGCTACTGCTGCTGCGGGTGTCATGGAATCTGATATTAACATTTAACCAGAGTTGTGGCTTCTGCCGAGTTACTTAGTTCCCATGCCCAGGTTTCCTTGCTGGAAAACTGGAGTTATTAATAGTGTCTAGGTGTGACGATAAAATGAGTTTATTTATGGAAAGTGCTGAGCAATGCTTAGCAGTTAAACATTTAATGAACAGTGGTAGTCATTAGCTCCAGCTATCAGAGCGTGTCATGATTGTATTCCAAACCACCCCACCTAATGAGAATTTGTTATGAAGAAAGCAGTAGGCTAGGACGTAGCTCGGTGTAGTGTTTGTCTAGTAGGCATGAAGTCCTAACTTCCATTCCCAGGTCCATGAAAACACAAAGAAGGGAGAGAGTGAAAGTGGAGAAGAGGGGGTTAGGGATCATTGACAAGGAACTTGTTTGTAAACTGCAGGAAAGGCCAGGGATCTAGCAGGGAGGGGAATAGGTTGAGGGTGAGCAGAAGGGCTCAAGACATTGGTTTTTTTTTTTTTTTTTTTTTTTTTGGTTTTTCAAGACAGGATTTTTCTGTGGCTTTGGAGCCTGTCCTGGAACTAGCTCTGTAGACCAGGCTGGTCTCGAACTCACAAAGATCCACCTGCCTCTGCCTCCCGAGTGCTGGGATTAAAGGCGTGCGCCACCATCGCCCGGCTGGGATCAAGACACCCTGTCTTCTCACTCTCAAGTCATTTATAGATGACAATTCCAGACCGCATCCTTGGAGGAAGAGCTTTGCTGGGGATGGGGGTGGAGAGTGCTAAGCTTACTGATTAGGATAATGCCCCAGCCCCTCAGCCACATTCCAGTCAATAATGTTTTCTTTGACACACTGCCTATACCCACTGCACAGAGGGACAGCCGGGGAGTGCTCACTACTATCGGGTACTTAATGTCATGACAGATGAGGACCAGGCATATGTCCTATGCTATGGCAACCTTGTAGAATTCAACCGTATCACAGTAGGGGTCCTGGGAAGGCTGCAGGGGGGAGGGAACCTCAGTAGGTTTAGGCACAAGAAAGGGGTCATTAGTCCTCCTTCTCTACTTTGGTCCAGTGACACAAATCTTGAGCAGTTTCCATTCTTCAGGCTGGTTTGACTGGCACAGGAAGGAAACATGCCCTGCAGAGGAGGGTAGTTTGTGTGTCCCTGTTGCAGAGAACAATGATGTAAGGAAGAGCTGTGTTCTGTCGGGGCACTGGGTACACACACCTTTAATCCCAGCACTCAGGAGGCAGAGGCAGGCAGAGCTCTGTGAGTTCGAGGTCAGTCTGGTCTACAGAGCAAGTCCAGGACAGGTTCCAAAGCTACAGAGAAACCCTGTCTTTAAAAACCAAAACCAAACAAACAAAAAACCCAAAACAACAAAAAAGGTAGCTTAGCTGTTTCCTGACTTCAATGTGAGCAAATTTCCTTAGCATTTATAAAACAGTAGAAAGACAAAATCGTACCAGCAAACGATTTTATTGCTATTTATTGCTCAGAAACAGGAGGCTTTAGGAAGACAACTGCCAGCAGTTCCCCTGTAAACTGAGCTACCAGCAAGGGCGTGGAGTTCGGTCAGGTAGGAAACATCTGAACCATGCACGGATCGCTGGCAAAAACCAGGTTGTAGGTCTTGAAATGCGACTTTTGTCTTCCTGAAATATATTCATGTTCCCTGAGAAAGCGGAGGTTCCCGCACAAAGGGAACTTTAGTCCAGGGGAGTGAAAATGGGGGAATGGGAGAGTCTTGCCGTTCTACAGCGTTTTAGTGCAGCGTCCAAACACTCCTCCCTAGCTGGAGCCAGAATATTTTTTTACATGCAGGTCTGGCCCCATCCCGTCTTCTTCGGTAGCTACACTCCCCTGAAAAATAAAAAGTGCCGGCCGGGCGGTGGTGGCGCACGCCTTTAATCCCAGCACTCGGGAGGCAGAGGCAGGCGGATCTTTGTGAGTTCGAGACCAGCCTGGTCTACAGAGCTAGTTCCAGGATAGGCTCCAAAAACCACAGAGAAACCCTGTCTCGAAAAACCAAAAAAAAAAAAAAAAAAAAAAAAAAAAAAAAAAAAGTGCCTGTGGGCGCAGGTTTTAGGAATTTGCTCCTAGTTTTGCTGCCTTAAAATCTAAGCGGAAAGTCGCCAAAGACACAGCTAGGTGAACACCAGCAGCGAAGGGTCAGGATCCCCAGGTAGGCGGAGCCTGGAGCTGTGCGTCTCTCGGGCACCGCCCTCCGGTACCGCCCTCTATTGGCCCGGTTTTTCTCCCGCAGACCCCACCCGGCGCCGAGTTTGACGTCACTGTCTGCGCCGCTCGCCGTAGATACAGGAAGTGAGACCAAAACAAAGGAGCGCCGGCTGGGAGCGGACCTCTTTGAGCCGGTGTCCCTGCTTCTTCACCCCGGCCCACTCCACCACAGAAGCCGCACGACCATGTCCAACATGGAGAAACACCTGTTCAACCTGAAGTTCGCGGCCAAAGAACTGAACAGGAGTTCCAAAAAATGCGACAAGGAGGAAAAGGCCGAAAAAGCCAAAATTAAAAAGGCCATTCAGAAGGGCAACATGGAAGTTGCGAGGATACACGCCGAAAATGCCATCCGCCAGAAGAACCAAGCGGTGAATTTCTTGAGAATGAGTGCGCGGGTGGATGCGGTGGCTGCCAGAGTCCAAACTGCGGTGACGATGGGCAAAGTGACCAAGTCCATGGCCGGTGTGGTTAAGTCGATGGATGCGACGTTGAAAACCATGAATCTGGAGAAGATCTCCGCCTTGATGGACAAATTCGAGCACCAGTTTGAGACCCTGGATGTGCAGACGCAGCAAATGGAAGACACGATGAGCAGTACGACGACGCTGACCACTCCCCAGAACCAAGTGGATATGCTACTCCAGGAAATGGCAGACGAGGCGGGCCTCGACCTCAACATGGAGCTGCCGCAGGGCCAGACCGGTTCCGTGGGAACGAGCGTGGCTTCGGCTGAGCAGGACGAACTGTCCCAGAGACTGGCCCGCCTTCGAGATCAAGTCTGACCGCAGAACCAGCCCAAGGTTTCCTTTGACGCTTCTCTGTTTTAGAGAGGTGCCCTAGAATTGGGCCAGAATACCGAAGGCTCTTCTTTCTAAAAACCTTTGGATATATAGCCCTCTCCAGATAGGATAAGAAATTCCAGTTTTCCTCCACTACGAACTGGATTTTAAAGTTCTTTATAGCTTATGATGATGTGTATTTTTTTATAGCTGCCTTTTAACAGGACCGGCTAATTTGCTCTATATGAATCTAGAAAGATCGGCAGAACTCTAGCCCTCATGTGTTCCGTTATCACTTAGAATTATAAGATTGAAGTTTGTTTTTAGTTTGGTTGACGATACATCGACCGACAAGTGGTACAAAAACTTAAATGAGGAGGAATGGGTACTTAGTTGACTTACAAATCTGTAAACACCGTTCAACTTATTTAATGAAAAATACTTTGTATTTCATTTGGTTTTGCTATCGAAGAACAACTACAATTGATTAATTTATTCTCATAGCTTATATTAAAATTACCTTACAAAATGCTCATTTTACATTCTGTTAGTTCATGTAATAATGCAGTTTGAGTAACTGGGGAAAATGCCAATAATTGATTACCAGGAGAAATTAAATTTGTTCAATATATCCTATTTACCGTAAATTCTTAAAGCTTAACATTTGATAATTTCTAGTTGCTTTCTAATGAAGATCAACCCTTTGTAGACTTATCAAAATAATGTCCATCAGCATGGCAGTCCTATTACATGCCTAACATTGCCAAAGAACTGCTGCTTTGTCCAGGTAAATCCTGGAACTGTGTTTTGTTCTTATTTAATAGCCAAAAAATATAAACATTTTTGTTCTAATTATTTGTACTTGTTTGTATTTTGTCTTAAAGCAACAACTCTTTTAAAACCTCAAAAAGCATAAGTTAATGCTATGAATCTACCAAGCTTAAATGTGTACGTTTAGCCAGCTAGAAGTCTAGGACGAAGGAATGAGCTGGCATTAGAGAGAACAGAGAGAGACTAGAAGCCACCACCACCACCAGCCGCCTCCTTTTATCCTCTGGTATAAAAGCGAAGCTACTCCCACTTTCTCCTGGCCTCCAAACACGGAGAACAACTTGTGTTTGCTTGGCACATATATTAACCTAAGTTAATTGGAAAAAAACTTACAAAGTTTGTCTTATTTAAATTCCCCTTTTCCTGGAGTTTTTTTTTTTTTTTCCATTAAGAGAATTCCAGTGTTTCAGACAAAATAGAGCCTCTACAAAACTCTTTGGAACATCCATTGTTCTAGTGTGCTTTCCCATGTGAATGAGTGTTTAATGAAAACAAAAAAAGTGCAGGTGTGCACAGTGAGCTGCGACTCTGAGTGAAGGAGTGAGTGTGTGTGTGTGTATGTATGTTTGTACATACATACCCTTTATTTTTGGTAAGTCTGCTCCACGGGACACCTTCACTGTCCAGCGTCCTCATATGCACAGTTGTGCTGAGTCAGGCGTGCATGAATACAACCTGTGTTTTAGTCCTTTAGACCGGAAAACCTCCGTTCATTATAATTTTAAAAAATAACTTCTTGGCAAATTAAAGATCCTTTTATGCTGAAAATATTTCGATCAAAATATATTTTGTGAAATTCAACAATACTACCTATGCTTAAACTTTCTTAAAATGTGTGCATTTCATACTATATAAATGTACATCTTTATGAATCATAAACATTATTTTCAAAAACACTACAGGCCCATGAATTATTTCTTCACGTTTAGAATTGATGTTTTAATTTTTAAATCTTGAAAACTGGATAAATACATTTAAATGGCATATTATTACATGCGAGTATGGATCTCAGCATACAGTGTATGCTTAGCATTCATGAGACCCTGAGTTAGATCTCAGCACCACAAAACGGATGTGGGGCAGGAGAACTCAGAAGTAAATTTCGTTCAGAGAGCATGGTATTTTACCAAAGTCTGCCTCAATCCTAAATTCTTATCTTGGTACCTTGGCATTTTTTTTTAATATTCCCGGAAGCCTTGATATTCTTACTCTGAATGTTTCTTCATGTATACAATTTTTTTTCTAAGCTGGGTTTTAAAATTAATGGGGAGGGGAGGAGAGGGGAAAGAAACAGACTGATGTGCACACTCAACTTTCTGCAATTAGTTTAGTGTAGTGCAGGAGGTGAGGGAAGGACACGATAAGTAAGCCAGTCTGGTCTGGTGACATTATTAAGTCAATCATTTTGTAATCACTAATGAAGGTTTTTTTTGCAATACATACAACATCCTTCTGGGGAGTGTTTGCTGTCAATACATGGCTCAAAACTACCAGAAAAAAAAACATATACAGCGGGAGACATTAAGCAAAGTGGTGATGGGCCTTCTTTTCTTTCTTCCATGCCTGTTCTAGTAAGCCATCTGCCCAGTTTCCCCAAAGTTCATTTTCTACAATTACTGTCAGGCCGATAGGGAGCAGGACCAGACAGAATCTGGTCATACAGCAGGATCCTGGGAGTGCCTCAGAGATTCATGCCATAGCAGGTATGTAGCAGTACTCAGAGTTCCCTGGTGACCCAGTGTCGGGAGCCCAGGCCAGAGCCCCCGGGACTCTCTCACCACAGGGATATTTTTACTCATCAGTAAGTACCACGATTCGGAGGAAAATCTCTTCCTTCCCTCAGCAGTTAGAGCTTGCTCTTTTTTTTTTTCCCCACAAAGAAATTATTTACAATGTGGATGGATGACAGAAAGCTGATGCTTTTCAGCCGGTCCAGCAAGCTAATGACAAAGGATACCCACAACCTCTCCTAGCTATCCTTGTCCCCACTTCTTGATCATCTTCATGGCCACCAACTTTTGAGTTATTCTAGTAAGAACAGTCCTGCCAGCATTCACACCTTCAGCTGTAGCAGGAAAAACTGGAAAATAGCAAAGCCAGTGGGGGTGGGGTGGGCGGGGTGAATTGTTTTATGTGCTGGCGTTTGTGCCCAGAGCCTCAAACATACTACATGCGTTATCTCTGCAGGACCCCATCCTTTTTGTTTTGTTTTGTTTTTAATTTTTTTTTCTTTTTTTTTTTTTTTGGTTTTTCTGTGGCTTTGGAGCCTGTCCTGGAACTAGCTCTTGTAGACTAGGCTGGCCTCGAACTCACAGAGATCGGCCTGCCTCTGCCTCCCGAGTGCTGGGATTAAAGGCGTTTGCCACCATCGCCCGGCTTTGTTTTTTTTTTGAGACAGACTCTCACTAAGTTTCCAAGCTGGTCTTCAACCCACTTTGTAGCTCAGGCAAGCCTTGAATTTACAATTCCTCTGCCACAACCTCCCTAGTAACTGAGATTACAAACGCACAGCACCAGGCTGGCGTAAACAATTAAGGGAGCTTAGTGTCCACAACACGGGTGGTTTTATACAGTTGGAATTTTCTGTGGCTTTTGTGGAAGCCTGAGGAGGCCAAAGGTCAGCGAGTTTGGGATGTGTTTTTAGTTCAGTCGAGATTATCGTGCCTCCAACTCAAAGGTTCCACCTGGTTGTAAATCAAGAGTTCTGCTCTCTCAAGGCTATTGTCAACAGGTGTGGCTAGTTGCCAGCCCTCGTGCTCCTGAAGAATCCCACTTAGGGAGACTGTTCTGACTTTGGAAAAGCCTTCTAAAACCTCTTCCCATTAGGTACAAGCCCCAGCTTGAAGAAGTACTTTTGCAGGTTGCTTGGAGGGCAGGGGTCAGAGCTGCCCGGAATTTGGAAACCACCTTGGGGCAGAGAGTCGGGGAAGACTAGGGCACCTTCGCCCCTTCATTGGCCTCTCAGTCTCACAACTTGGACAGGCTGCGGGAAGGATCCCCCCCCTTCCCTCCCACCATTTCCTCTGGAAGGCAGTGTTTAACTACATCCCTCAGGAACCTCATAGGACTTTTTGTCAGCCATATTTCACTCTTTCTACTTGTAATAATCATCATCCAAGTATACACACCCACCTGCTCCACCCTGCGTGCACCGTTTTAAATTGGTTGCTTCCTAAGCTAACTGACTCTAGCCAACAGCTTCATATTTAATGTTTAGCTCCTTCCAGCCCTTCCTGTCAGGGACCTTGCTCGTTGCCCTTTCAGGTGAAGGAGGGATGAATGTGTGTTCCTTCCAAGGATGTTTCCTAAGGACAGGGCACTGCACTGATGCCAGGGACCCAGAGTCTCCAGGATGAAGACCCTCGCTCCGTATCCTACACTTAGACAGAAAAGATATAAATAACGCCAGTGTGTGACAAGTGCCAGGACCTGGAAAGCCAGGCCTCGTGGAGGTGGCCGGTCTGAAACAGGGTCTCACCTTGAGAACAGGAGGAAGTGGCCTGTTACGTGAGGAACAGGACAGATCCGGAAGACATCTCCCTGCTGACTCACCTGCCACACCCTATGCAGTTCTGATCATCCTGCCCTTGAGCTTCACTGACAGCAGCTGGGCCTGTGCTGATGAAATCTGCAGACACTGTCTCACCCATGCGCAAGCATGCGCATCCTTCCACTTCCTCACACCATGGTTCACACACTCTATTTCTCACAAACACATGCAAACATAAATACAACATACAGCCATACTCATGCACACCTGCTGACTTTTATACTCATATTTTTGTTCTTAGGAACGTTGTTGCTTTCTGTTTTTGTATTAATATTGCAGCTCCTTTTCCTACCAGCTTGGCCAGGGATGGGGCTTCATCCCCCCTCCCAGTTTCAAAGCAGCCACTTCTAACCTTCCAGGACCAAGGAAGAAGGAAGGAAAGCAGAGGTGAAAGAACAGAATCTCAAAGTCAAACAGAATGCAGGCCTTGGCCTCCCCTTGAGACAGATACATAGCAGAATTTAGGCCTGTCCTCACTGTCCCCTTGCAAATGCCCCATTAACATAGCCCAGGCCCAGGGACGAAGGGTCAGAGAAGCAGCCTGACCTTGTATTGCCTTTCTTTGCAGCTTCCTGGAAAGGATTGACACATGCAATAAATCTTATTTAAAAATTTAAAGTTTGTATTGTTGAATAAGTATCTCTCTGTCAAGTGTTCAGAGTTAATGGGAAAGAAATAGGGCCAGGAAATGCCAGGTGTGAAGAATGAGCATTCTTTGGAATGGTTGTCAGTGAGCACACACAACAAAACATCCACATTGTTGCAAACTGGGAAGAAGACTAAAAGTTCCAAGCTGAGCAGGAGGACCACCATAAATTCCAGGCTATAAGACTCTCTCATTGAAACAGGGAATGGATTAAGCACAAGGGATACAGCTCAGTCAGCGGTAGAGTATATCCCTGGGCACAAAGCCCTGGGTCTGATCCCCAATACTGAATCAAAAATTATAATCTTGACTTTATATGCATGAGAAACTGCCTCAGTTTAAAACATCCTTTTTATGCGCCCCCAAAGCACTAGGGCATGGGATGAGTAGCCCTATTCAAAATGCTCAGGACCACAGTGTCGAGCTTAGAATTTTTTGAATTTTGGAATGTTTGCTTATCTGGGAGATGTGACTCTATTTCATTAAAGAAAAAAACTCACTGATATTGGAATATATTTCTTTGTACCTCAAATACGTAGCCTGAGGGTTTTGACTGACCTGTGGCATGAAGCCACTGCGGAAGTTTCTATCTGTGGTATCACGTCAGTACGTGAAGGTTAGCAGAGGTGGGATAGCTGAGATTTTATTTATTCAGAATAGGGATGCTTAGTCGTTATTCAAATGTCCTACTTGGGATTTTCCTTGTAAATGATTCAGAGCTTGATTTTCTGTTAAAGATGGGCCATGTAAGGAAGGGCTGTGGGAGAACAGCAAAAGGGCAGTGAGATGCTGTATTGAAAGACCTGGATAAATCGAGACCCCCTC